AAAAATTATTATAGTAAACATGGGATATTTCTTATTTGCATAAAACATCGCAAGGAAAAAAGTTACATAAAATTGAGATCTACGTGCTTTTACAAAGGTTTCAGAAATATTAGTATATAGTCGAGTGTTATGTTCGAGTGTATGTAATGTTAATCCTATTGTAGAATGATTGTACACTGATAGTGCAGCAGAAAACGGTAGAAGAACAGCATAAAAACAAATCTGAAAACTGTGTTCAAATCATTTGAAAGCTATAAAATATTTTATAAACCGCTACATTCATTTATATTATCTTAGATTTTTGTTGTGATTGAAAATAGGTGTTCTCACATTTATTAATTTTCTTTTTACAATTAATATAGCTGTAAATTACTGGCGACAAATAACTACTCTTGAAATGAATATTTACATTATATGTATATATACACGAAAGGCATTTTTTATAACACAGATTTGCATGCTTTCGTATAGTCTGTTTTATAGCATTGTCGCAGAATGTCGCGGAATTAATCTGCCATAATCTGTCAATAAATCCTGCCATCTATTCACAATCTTTAATTGTTCATAGTTCGTAACAACGTCAGCCGATTTCGTCGAAATTTTCAGCATGCATATAAGTTACTAAAATCTACAAGATGCAATTTTCAAAGTTTAATTATTCACTCAAATAAAAAAGTTAATATATATGAGTGTTTTATTTTTCTGCCGTTTCAAACAATTTTAAGGTTTGCAACAATTTTGATGGGGATTATTTAGTAAACTAGACTCTCTGATATTTGAAAAAGATTCAAGTCATTTGGTTCGATGTTTTAAAATTTATTTCGTTTTAAAAAGTGTCCGAATATTCTCGTATATTGTTTGTTGCAGAAAATGATTATGGAATGGAACGTTCGAATGCTTGATATGTAATAAAATGAAAAGTGAGTACATACTTTAATATTTTGCCAAAGCAATTGCTTTTGATGTTAAAACGTGAAGGTTTTGCTTGTGTAATTAATGACATTAAATTTTGTTTATGAATGACAATACGTTATTTTGTTCGTTTACTTTGTACATAACGGCATAGTGAACGTGTACTTTATTAAAATTTCATTTTTGGTATTTCGAAGCATCGATACGTTTTATGCTTGTTAATATAATACGAATGTAATTCGCTGATTTCTTTGCAAATTGTCGTTAGTAAACTTATGAGAAACATTTTATATTTCATATACATGTATCCTCCGCAATTTCTTTCCGATTACCTAATAGAAAATTTGAAGTAGATTTATTTCATTCGAACAACATGAAATGAAAATGTTTCTCGCTTTCTTTGAAGATTGATCTTCAAATCTCACAAGTTCGCGAAATATCTAAAATATTGAACGACATATCCTTCGGTACGACAGCTACGAGACAGCACGCATGTTTATGCGAACGCATGCACGTCTAAACATTAAACTCTAGTGGAAAATTCTTCGCCTCGTAAGATCGTCTTCCGTTACGCAGAACGCACTTATCTTGGACGCGATTACGCACACGAATCTAAACTTTGAAGTACGCATAAAAAAAAGGAGCAGCTTTATCAGTCAACTTGTTACACAACTTCCAAGAAACGTGCCTGATTGCGAATATATGCCGTAAGTCTCAAAAATAGTTGCGTGTTACTTCATCGCGTAATACCGCGAAAGTCATCGTAAATTGAAATTTTAAGACGTTAATTAATCCTGCGAACCCTGCATGCGTTGATGCCTTAATAAACAAATTGAAATCAAGTGCACCTAAATGCACTTCGTATCAATTTGTATCTCAAAAATGAAGTACCAGAACTATTATGCTTATTACTATGCTCGTTTGAAAACATTCAGAAGTACATTTTATTAAATTTATTACACAAAATTTGTATATACATAGAATCAGTTTATTTAATATATATTATATATTCAGTATATTATATATCTATCTATCTATCTATATATATATATACATATGTATATTATATGTATACGGATCTTTTCGACCAAACAATATCAGCACAAATCTGCCATCGAAAATGAGAAAAAAGTATCCCATAAAGATAGGCTCAAAAATAATTTATTCAAAAATTATAAGAAAAATATGATATAACAACATAGTGATTTTCATTCGATGTAGAAATATGTTTTTGATACTTCTCTTGTCTGCATGTACTTATCCAAGCTATGTTTACTAACTCGTTGAATTTATCATAGATATCAATGCTGTATTTTAGATAATCCGTCGTTATTTCGTATTTTTCTTATAATTTTTTAATAAAGTACTTTCATATAATTCCATATATGTTATTCTATGTCTATATTGCGTTTTCTTCCTATTTTCGCTGGTAGAATATGCTGATACCTTTTGGCCAAAAAAGCCTGGGACACTCTGTATATATTAATTTTCAAATTTTTTTTAACAAGCCGAATTAGTGTTTTAAAAATTCATGAAATTATAAACAGCTCATACCAAAATTGCATTTCGTATAAATTGCGTGATTTCAATGCTCCGATTTTCAATTCGATTTTTTCACTGGTCCACGTGTTTTTTTTTTGTACGTTAATGAAAATACTCGTTCAGAGGGAGAGAGAGAGAGTTTTTAAACGAATGTATTTAAATATGATACGTCTTTATATACAAAGTATTAAAAATTTTCAAACCGTCGTAAGTAACCTGTCGTAAAGTTGACTTCTAGCTTGAAAATTCAACGGCAATAGTCGAAAATGCCTTTTCTTCCTTACATAAATTAAATTATTTATTTACAGAAATTTGCGTAAACATCAAATTTTACAAAGTTGATCCTGAAGAAGAGTGTGAGATACGATACACACACAATACAATAGTTTTCTGGGATCTAGGTCAATTTTGGGGCGAATTATTTATACCAACACCAGCCGAACTATAGCTATAATTTTGTGACATCCTGTACACACATACATTGGATAAAAAATGTTCTGAACTGATGAACTATGAACGATTCAGCGGAAATCAAAATAGCCGCGTATTCGGTCAGACGTTAATCGCGTCTTATTTACAGTGATTAAAGTGAAAAATTAGAAAGAGATAGAACAATTTGCTGGATCGTTTATAATTTTGCGTCGACCTATCTTAATTATTAATCATAATTGCACACGGTCGGAACGGTCCTCGTAATATTCAAGCTGTTGCGAGAAAGTAACCGTAGCCGGAGGACCTCGTGTATCTGTGACGTGACCGATTAATACCAAACGCGGTTAAGAGCAACGTAATCGAATCGGGTCAGATCCGAAGAGTTCGATAGCCATCAGTTCCGAACACTTATGGAAATCCATGCGATGCGTGAATCCAATCGTTGTCATTTCGAATCCGCGTTAGGAAATTTTCTGAACCTAGTGTCCTCTATTCGAACGTTTTTCAGCTACGCTAAAATTAACAATAAGAAGTAATTTACTGCTCCTTTATATGATCCAGAACTAATACGTTTCTTCACGATGAGCCTCCGTTTTCGAAATATTTCGATCTAAGGTTTTGTACGCAGCTAATAAATGGATTATTTTACACTCTTTAGCAGTAGTAGGTTCGAATATCCGCTGTTGTTGCCACTTTTTTTTGTTTTTTAAATACAACTTTGAAATGAACAAATATTTTATTTATTTTTGCATTTAATGTTAATCCTATATAACATCAATACCTACCAAAAACGAGCAAGTATACGGACATTCTTGCTAACTGTCCAGGCATTGCCGTTATTCTAACATTTATTTAATATGTAATCGAAAACTACTAGTGTCCATAGTGGCGATGTGAACGATTAATACAGAATTCACCTGATAACGACTAATAAAGAAAAATATATGCGACACATACTGTGCTACTTTATTATTGTATTCCTATTTTCGATATTAAAAATTTATGTTTTTTGTTTTGCACTTAATATTGACGTCATGTAGGATTAACATTAAATGCAAAAATAAGTAAAATATTTTTTCACTCCAAAAAATAAAAAAAAAACAGTGACAACCGCGAAGAATCAAACCTACTTCCCTACAGCTTTCTAGTCAACCGCCCTATCGACTTACCCGCAACTTATTCTGCCAAAGAGTATTAAATAATTCATTTACTCTCGTTGCGTACAAACCTTTAAATGAAAATACAGTAAATTCTCCTTAATTAATTCTCAGCTAACCGATATTTTCATTAATTACTCGGAAACGAAGCCGCGGATTGCATTTTCGCTAAGGAAAAAGTTACTTCAAATGACCTCAGGAACCCCTCATTTCTCGCTTGTACAATAATTTTGCGACATCCTGTATAACTTATACTTACTACCGTTTCAAAAGCGATTTCCACTACCGTGGAAACCCCTTTTGAGTCGAGGATACCGATTCTGTTGTGCCATGCTCTTATCATTTAGGGATGGATTAGATACAGTGATATTACACAGAATTACTGATTTATGATATTATACAGGGTGTCCCAGGTTTTAATGTTCAAACTTTGCTAGTGTATTCTATGGCACAAAGTAAGAAAAAAATATTATGTAAACATAGGTCATATAGAGCTTTATTAAGAAGTTATAACAAAAATTCAGAATAGAGGAATAGTAATCAACTTGCTGTTACTGCGAGCATTGGCTTGAATAGATCAGCACGTGCCGTGTGTTTATGTAAGCTGTGTTTATTAATACATTTCGAAATGTCTACCGTTGTTGACAATACATGATTGACATCGATCGAAGATCGAATTTATGACCGTGCGAATTTCGCTCAACTACGTAGCACACACTCACGCGCGCACACACAGCATTCTCACACATACTAACCTAACATCTCGCCCTTTTATTGTAACGTTTAGCAATATGTCTTGTGTCACGTCTAATATAATTTCCTGATTCAGCTTCTACATTTTACGGTTATTTAACCATTTCTTCGCGATTTTAAAAACTTCATCGCTTCTTATCATACACCTACATTCCCTTCTAAAAGTATTAGGACACTTGCACAAAATTAAATGAAACTTAAGCATTTGTTTTACATATTTATTTCTCTTATCTTGTTTATTGTATTTATTATTACGCTCTGCACGCCCCTAACCCTAACAGAACTTCTGCTTCTCCATTTATCATAGTGAATCTTAATGCGCATTCATTCTGTTTGCACGTACAGCATTATTTAATGGTACCTTACGCTAATTATCCTATCTCCTCTGAACTATCGCATTCACTACCGAATATATTGCGGATCCTAGTGCTGCTACTCTCCATTGTTTGGCATGCAACTGCAGTATGGTTGAACTTTAAACATTTCTCACACTGTTTACCAAACGCTGGACACATATTAGGCCCATGTTGCCCATTGCATCGTTTGCATGTGAACCCGTCTTTCCAGCACCCGATCCTCGATGCAGACCTTGTCCTATAGCGCTCTAATACTTCTACCCTGCTTCTCCAATTTGGTCTGTGTCGTTCTTCTACGTCGCCGCATCCTCCTCCCATCCCTATATTATCGTCATTGCTGTAACGATCCTGCCTTGTGTTAATGCGTATATCATTTATTCTTTGAATCGTACCTCCCTGTATATCGTTTGTTTGACTTCTGATTATATCATGCTCTCTCATCATTTTAATCAACGATTCCAATTGAAGATCCCGACATTTTAGTGCCGATTGTTGCAGCCCCAGGTCCGACATGTGATATATTATATTGTCCCTGATCAAGGAGTCCGTCAATGTGCCATAGTTGCAGTTTCTTGCTATTTTTTTCAGGTCTGATATGTAATGTTCCAATTTCTCACCGTTGATTCGTTTTCTGCGGAGGAACAGAAACCTCTCGTAGATTTCATTTTTCTGCGGCTCGACGTAATTCTGGAAAGCTGTTATTATTTTTTCAGGGTCTTTCTTGTCCGCTTCACTTACGTCCAACGTTTCGAAGACATCTATCGCCTCGCTGCCTATCAGATTGAGCAACGTTGCTGCCTGTACGTCCTTCGATTGCGCAGCCCTGCCCGTCGCGGTCATAAAAAGATCGTAATCTCGTTTGAATCTCCTCCAGTTGTCCTCTAGATTTCCTTTTATCCGAAGCGGCTCAGGCCTATTTATTCCGTCCATGGCGTTTTCCGATACGTTTCCACAGTTTCTTCCTGTACGGTTATCACGTGTTCTTCGCTTTCGGCTCTTTGGTCAGGTCTACTCGCCACTTCCGCCTCTTCTTATTTATCCTTTTTTTTCTGACAACGTGCCTTTTGCTTTTCCGTGACAATACCGACTGCGTGAATACGGAATACGATGTTATACAATATTTCACACGTTCACGTTCTTGTGCAGTCCGTTGATCAGTGCGATCTGGGCAGCGTCGCTCAGCTATACGTATATATATATGTATAGCACACCTACATATTCTCACGTGCACTCAACAGATATTCTCACACATACTCTATTAATCGAATCTAACAGTTTCAAGATATCCGAAGAATGTAATCTTTGCATGTTGCAAACAGATTAAGAAACGTTTGCAATAAATATTGAAAAATAAAAATGAAAATTCATTTCGTCAACCTAATATACGAGTGAATATGAAATTGAAAATTGAACGGTAAATACACGGAAATATAGTAATAATATAGTAATAATGTGGTAGTAACAATATATTTTTAGTAGTGCGAGACAAAATTGTTCATAAGGTGAATTTGTCGTATGCTTTTGTATTGCGATGACTATTCGATAAGTCAAATTGCAAGGAAATGTTTAAATGAGGATAATGAAAAAGAAAAAAATTTGATGATTATCCAATTTTGGGACTCTGGAGTCGGTCTCTTCCAGGAACTAGGTAGCCGTTACTAAATGGCCAATACAATTAACTTTGATGGAGACCAAACGTACAATACCAAAACGATCGTAAATTCTAATCGAATTATGAACGACAGATTGACAAAATTTTCAACACAGCTACTGATTTAATTGTTCGTTTTCTTCTTCAGTCGTACACCTCCCTCCAGAAGTATTAGAACATTTACAATAGGAAATTGTCCGAATTTCTCCAATTTTTTTCAAAGTTAATTGTATTGAACTGTAACAAGTACACGAATATATTTTACGTTGTAACAAAAATATTGTCGATTTTATAAAACGAAAGTTAAATTTTCTTTGTTGTTTATTTAATTCTTCTTCTTGATCACTGAATACCGAAACGAATAAATCTGTTTGAATAATGGTGCATATCGATTTGTTCGCGATTTCAGTATATTAAATCATATAATCTATACAATATATTCCTAGCAACGCAACAGGATCCGAACAAATCGTTAGGTTTTCCGGACAACGCGATTACTGGGCGGTGAAAAAACCAGCAGCAAAACAGGCGAAACTTCCGGAATCGAATACGACCCCCGAAACACAATCCGCGCAAACATTCTTGTCGTAGGCAGCATTCATCCAAAGAAGATTGTTATTAGAATACGCTTCCGGCTCCGATTATCCCCAGGAAGGAGTGTCCCGCTGAAAGGAAGCAGATAATCGGTGGTCGTGGCGACGAGAAAAATGGGTCTTTTCCGAGATCCTGTGGGTGTCCAGGGAAAATTCGAGTGCAATTAGTCGATGCCCGCCCAGTGGGCGCACCTTGAGCTTCTCGCTCAGAGAAGGGAGAGAAGAGAGAGAGAAAGGAAGAGAAAGAAAGAAAGAGGGAGGGAGAAAGAGAAGGAGAGGGAGAANTAAGAATATTTACTATATATATATATATATATATATATATATATATATATATATATATATATATATATCTTTTACATTATAATAAAAATAAAGTCAATCTTATAAAAGAAAATTAAATTTTCTTTTTGTCGACATATCCACCGCGTTTTCTAATTACTTCTTTAGACTAACTTCGGCATCCGTTTTATCAGTTTGTTTGTTATTTTAATATATATTATTATAATATAAACATAACGTATGAAATGAACTCAGCATATATGTTTTTAATGAACAAAATGCAATAAACGGGTGAATTAATTGCATAAGCGACAAACACCTCTAACTAAATAATGTACTTTCGACAATACAATGTCATAAAACTTACTAGGCATAAAATATTAGTTAAACTGAATGAAAAATTACAATTATACTAATAAAAAAAAAAGTAAGAAAAATTACAATCATACTAAATCAGCAGGTGTCCTAATTCTTCTGGAGGGGAGTATATGTGCAGTGGCGCATGCAACCTGTATGTAATGTACGTACGATGTGTACGCTCCGAATGTTTATTGTCAGTTTCCGGTAACATTTCTCGAAATGAAGCAGTACGTTCTTTTTGGTTATTAATTTCTGTCTGCATTTTCACGTGTTATACTATACCAAAATAATTTATAAAATGATTTATCCGGAAAACTTTATCACTTAAAAGCTTATCACTTAATCATTAATAAATCACGTCATTACTTAAATTATAAATGTTATCACTTAACATTAATATGTTAAATTAAATTGAGTTTAAGTCATAAAGTTTTTAGGACAAATAAAGAATTTTGGTATAGTATAACATGTGAATATTAATTAAAATGTCCACTTTGACAATTATTATTATACAATTATTGAAATTATAAAGATGCTTCCACCGGAAATCATTAAATAAATTTATTCATTCGAGCATATATTAATATAAAAATTACAGAAAGCTTAAGTAAATTCGATCTTATTATTTTTATAAGGTCACACAGACTAGTCGCATTTAGTGCTCGGTATGGCTAGTGTTATAATTAAATCTTGATTCGATCCTGTCATTCTTCAAAACATGAAAAAGATTTAAATAATTCGTCTTACGTTTGCTGCGGGGCTCAGTGCTGCACTTATGCCAGTGATCAAGTACTGTTGTAAATAAAATATCATGTTGTACCATGATTATTCAAAATATTATAAAAATCTCAGATTTGTTTAATTATTTGTATCTAACACAAGTACTTTACATTGTCGAAAATGCCGAAAATGCCAAAAAATTAAAACTGCAATAACATTTTTTAAAATGCAAGACTCTAAATTTTATTTTATCTGCATTTAGCAATTGGGTATACACTTCTCATACACAAATATTCAAGAAAATAGATTAACATTTGAATGGAGAAATTAAGATAAAAGATTGCCATGTTTTTATATTTATATGTATTTAAAACATATCAAGAGCTATCTCTAAAACCTGATTGCGCAGCTAAAAATACACAATTTTGCAGTTAGAACCACTTTTCTAGCTCTAATATCTCCCAGATATTCGACCAAATATTGTAACGATCCTCGACTTCGGGAACTGTTTTCACTCCTACAGTGTAAACAAGGGCCGATATAAAAATATATTGTGTCGAATATTTTTCTAAGAATTACTTTTCCCCAATGTTTTATCAAAATCGGTGTGTACAATTTCGGTATACGTTTCTTTGTTAACACAAGGGAAGTGAATGAGCGATCGAAATCGGCGATCCATGTAGCGACAAATAATAGAATCACGTATAGTGGTCTCAGTTATCAATATAATATAATAACAGTTCCAATAACTGATAAATTGTTTCATTTATACTCATAAATATGATAAAAGTTTTTATGCAAACATGTTTGAGAAGCTTATCAGTGGATTAATATAATGTACAATTCGAAACGAGAAATAATAAACAGGTCTTTTTCTTGAGATTTTAAAGTGGTGCTAAATTCTGTACATTTTGGAGGCTTGTTATTTCCTTCATCACATGTGGCGATCCAACGTGCAAAATGTTTTAGCGAAAATATTAAAATTAGTCATTGTTAATAAGTGATTTTTAAACATGATTTTACTCGATTATCAAAAGAAAATTGACGTCATTCGATCCCCTCGTGGTAAAAGCTGGTGGGCATATACATATAGACGATAAATAACAGTTTCGAATTTAATAATGTTATTTATAATGTTATCTAATAATGTTGTGTCCGTGATGTATACGGACATGAAATATGCCATGAAAAAAAGAAAAATATAGAAGATGTAAATAGAATACTGTCATGTAAAGTATATCACAACTATTGGGTTGGCAACTAAGTAATTGCCGATTAGTTCAATAAAACAAAAATTTTTTTTACTTGAAATGAAGTTTAATCTGTAATGTATTTTCCATTTTGTTCGATGACCTTTTGCCATCTCTCTGATAACTTGAAAATTCCACGCTCGTAGAAAGTCTGATCCTTTTCAACCAAAAACTGAGTTAAGTGAGATTTTACAGCGTCATCATCATTAAAAGTTTTACCACGAAGGGAGTTGTCCAGGGATCGAAATAAGTGGTAATTCGATGGCGCGAGATCAGGGCTATATGGTGGGTGTAACATCAATTCCCAACCAATATCCATCAATTTTTGCCGAGTGGACAAAGACGTGTGCGGCCTAGCATTGTCCTGGTGGAAAATGACACCTTTACGATTGACCAATGCTGGTCGCTTTTCCTTGACCGCTGCATTCAATTTGTCCAGTTGCTAACATTCACGGA